CTCTGAAAGACTAACATAACACCTCCCGAGCCCCAGCCACACACTTGCTACAGTGACTGCATCCTGAGAACCTGCTCTAAAGGGAACATCTTCGAACTACTACACTAACATCCATAGTATGCAGATGACGTATAACTCAATCACAAGCAGGCCACAAAATTCTGAAATAACCTTACTAATATCGATGCAGTACCATAACAATAAATTCATGAACAAAACCTGAATTTGGAATACATACCAGCGATCTATTGTGGCTCGATCTTGACTTCCCGCGGAACCATGGGCACTGGAGCCTGAACTACCCCTCCCTGCTGGAGTATCTGCAATGAAACCGGAGCTGCCTTAACCCCTATACGGGGGCAATTTGCTCTGATGTGTCCAGGCTGATGACAACGATGACACAATTCTTCCTCCAACGTGCATTCTTGACGCTTGTGACCCTTCCACCCGCACCTTCCGCACTTAGACCTGCTACAAAAATCTTTTTGTACCCCTTCGTCCTTTGTGGAACTGCCACGACCCTTTGGGTTTTTGACTCCTGCTACAGCCGAACTTAACTGCTCGGTTGGTTGACTCAGACCATGTTCCCGCTTCCTCTTTCCTAGGTGCCCATCTAACACAATCTCTTACTCCCGAGTTACCCCGACTACTCCATCAACGGCATGCACAGTCGCTGTCTGACCTTGAAACCTAGCGGCTATCCTGCCAGTAACACGCTCAATAATGCCGGGTAACTCCTCACGTACGGCTCGCGAAATCTCCACAACGATCCAATCGCGCAGTGGACTCTCCTGGAGGCAAGGTGCGTGACCCACCTCTGATCCCTGAAAACAAGATCTAATAACGGTATCCTCCCTTCCGAGGGATCCTAGTGATCCATAAAAACTGGGCCCCAGAGGAGCCCCTAACTGCCCCGCAATGATCTCGGCCCGGAAGACCTCAAGGTGGCTATCCAAAAGCTCCAATATCCCCTCCTTGACTGTACCGAAGATCAAAGGAGTCTGGTCCAATATACTGCATGTAATTTCAGTTGAAATAAACTCTCGTATCTGCTCCCCGAGCTGCTCGGCTCCTGAACCCGAGCCTGATCCCTCATCTGCACCAGAACTGCCCACTGGTCTACCCCGAAGCGTCACCATGCTGCAAGCATTCCGTAACTACCATAAGAATACTCATTACTACTGAGGGATCTCACACACACACTACAAGTTCCTTGGTTTTATCTCATGCCTTCTTGAATCGAGTACGAATCCTCTGCTTTCAATAGTACGGGCCCATACTACCTTCCACATCTATCCGTACTTTCCTCAAGAACTGCCTCGACCCCACCAAGTTCCTTCTACTACTACTGCTATTCTCATGCTAATCTCATCCTAGGCTTGCCCTAGAAAAAATCTCTGTCTCACCCCGTCCTTAGCTGCTGAAGGACTTCCTATTAATGTCAACTAACTACCTCATGAATATAGCCACATGCAACAGAGATCAGATAATCCTTCGAGTAAAAGACTCGTCCCTAGAACGGTTGGAATTAGACGAGAGCTGCGCAATAGGGCCAAGTCCATCACTCTGAGATTATTCAGCCTGTTCCATATGTGACTTAGCATATTCACTTACTAGCTAACTCACATCACTAGAAGTCCCACAAAGCACAAAGCAAGCAGCATTCGGACAATGAAAAACTAACCACATAACCCAATCAAACTGTTCTATCCTCTACTCAGGAATCTGTACTAGCATGCAGTTCTCATAAAGCTGAACACATATAACAGGCACATAAGGCTCCTAGATCCTTAGTCCTAATCTAGCATGTTGTTGTAATAAAGCTGATAATCATAACATAGCATAAACTTGTATGGGTAATTTGGGAGTACTTACTTGAGCTCAGCTGATTGCATGCACCACACCCTTTTCTCTTTTCAAAGTTCTTTTCTTTCTAAAAATTCTTTTCGCTTTTCTAAAACTCTTTTCTTTCCTCAAGATCCTTTTTACAAAAATTGATTTTCTTTTTGAAAATTTCTATACCAATTCCTTAGTTTGAGTTCAGACACACCCGAAAGTGTGCCTGAATCCCTCAAACCAAGGTTCTGATACCAACTTGTAACATCCCAAAAATACAAGCCAAAAATTTCGTTTTAAATCATTAATAAAACAATCATCATCTTTCAACATATAAAATCATAAATCGTATATCCCAAGAACATAATAACACCTGTCAAATATATCAGAGTATAAACATCCCAGGCTGAACAAATGGTGTGTGCACTGCAATCTTCCCGAGCTCCTCTTTTGAAAACTTAAGCACCTGAAACCAAAACTGAAAACCGTAAGCACGAAGCTTAGTGAGCTCCCCCAAACTACCACATACCATACACATAACATAAAACAATCACATAACTCTGGGACTACTCCCAACTGCATCAGGACGAATCCCGACATCGGCTTACCCGACATCAGACTCCTGTCCGGCATCGGGCTCACCCCGGCATCGGGCATCGGGCTCACCCGGCATCGGGCTTGCCTCGACATCGGGCTTACCCCAACACATACATAACATAATCACATAATCTGCATCGGGCTTGCCCCGACATCGGACCGAAGCCCGGAACAACAACATATAACACATAAACTAGCATACATCGGGCTTGCCCCGAAATACATAATACATGGCATAATGACTAACATACATCGGGCTTTCCTCGGAACACATAACATATAACATAATCACATATACTGCATCGGGCTTGCCCGGGCATCGGACCGGAGTCCGGAACACATAACACATAACACATAAACATGCATGAATCACAAAGACATCAAGCATACATAACTACTTCTCGGGACCGCCCCGGCATCAGACCGAAGTTCGGAAACATATAAACTGCATCGAGCTAACCCCGACATCGGGCTTACCCCGACATACTCTACTACTTAAACGGGCCGGTATTGTGGCCGTAGACTCGTTACTACTGGAAGGAAACGTACCTCTCAATCTGGTTGCTGAAAACTCGTGCAAGGTAACTCTGTCCGCTGCGCCAACTACTCCCTGGCTATTATGACCATAATAAACACTTAGTCAAAAACTGAGAATCCATCTAAGGGTAAAATGACTATTTTACCCCTTTAATCTAAATTGGACCATGACCGAGGCCCAATCCTTTCTAGTCTTTCCAAAATGACTAAGGCCCATTAAAGTCCTCCAATGGCCCAATTTTCTAAATTGGGCCCAACTCCTAAAATGGGCTTTCCACCCAAACCCAAACTAGTCCTTGGGCCCTTAACTGTCTCTTGGTGGCCCATCACGGCCCAAAATCTGCTAACTTAAAGCCTGACCCCAAACCGAGGCCCAATAACGCAAAGTCCATTGTGTGAGTGTACGCTGAGCGTACTCTTTTGTACGCTGCACGTACTGGCGTGTACGCCCAACGTACTCCCCTGATAAGCCTTTTTCTTCAAAGCTGCTTAATCCCTTAAGACACAACTTCCAAACTTCAGATCTGAGTGTAATAATCCTTCTTAACCCATAAAGTTGATCACTTGGTGGCTTGCACCCCACCAAATGAAATCAAACTTGGAAAAATAGCAACTATCTTCATGGAAATGGCTAGATCTCTTGCATGGATGCAAATGGGCCTTAAAGATTGCAACTTTACTACTCAAGGGACTCAAATAGCTTCATGGGTGGCAACCCTAAGTCCAGAAACGGATTTGCACCATAAAAATCCATTCTTGAAACCAAAAAGGAACAATATCCATGAGAACCTAGATCTATGATGTAGAAGCACCAAGATGATAACTTTATACCTTCAATAGGCTGGAAATGATGTAAAACCTCTGGATCTACAAGCTCTCTTCAATCTCTTGCTTCTTCTCTAAACACCTTCTTCTTCAAAAACACCAAAATACTCCTCTAATGGCCATCCAAGCTCCAAAATCACTCAAATGAGGGTTAAGGGTTGATTTCTAGGGTTTAGAGGGTGGAGGCTGAAGATATTAGGGTTAGGTTATGAGATAAGGAGCTTAAATAGGGTCCAAGACCCTAAAATAGGGTTCAGGTCTGATTGGCGTACGCCCAGTGTACTCCGAAGAACATTCGCGACCCATCCTGGTCAGTACGCCCAGCGTACTGCCTTCTTCACCAGTACGTCCAGCGTACTCTTTGTGTACGCCCAACGTACTCGGCTAAGCCTGAAACCACTAAACTTCCGAAGGCCATAACTTCTTCGTTATAAATCCGTTTTCGACAATCCTTATATCCATGAAAAGGTAACGAGAAGCTGTACACTTATATCAACTCATATCTTTCTTAAGACCTTCCGAACAAGAGTCCATTTTCCACAAAAGCCCAAACTGACACTTTACCGAAATACCCTTAGGCTCCAAAACACAAACCGAACATCCAGATCGCTTCTAATACATCTCTCGCACCCAAAATAGCCTAGATCTTACCCTTTTCAAAAGGCATAATCCTTATGATGACCGGCCTTCGGGCCACAGCCTCACATTAGGAGTCAATTCAGAACAGGGCGTTACAACTTCTTTATCGACATTAAAGTTCTCCTCAAAATGAAGACTAGTTTATAAAATAAAAGAAAGTATGTGTTTAGTCATATATAATAAATGTTAGTGAAATAATAAAAATATATACCTAGGATTAAGAAAAGATCCCGTGGCATGAAGTGGCCTGTGAAGTTGCATATTCCACCTAAGATCAATCTTGTCCCAAATAGGTTTATATCTTGACTCGACACCATGGAAGTTCACTTTTATTTGTTCTTTTGCCCGATCCATAACTTGATATATATATATATATATATCCCATTTCCGGTTTCACATCACCATCCATAAGTCTCAATACCTTAAAAAATAGGAACTACACAACTCAAACAATATTTTATAGCCTTCCCAAAGTTGACATCAACCAAAATAATTCTTTCAATTAACTTCCCTTCATCTTTAGAAGCAAAGGTGGATTCGGCCCATTCATTAGAAGCAAACAACCGTCAAATGGGATGTTTTAACTCTTTAAATCTTTTCAATGTAAGAAAAGAAGTAGCAAATCGTGTTACTCCGGCTCGTGTTAATTCTTGACCACCGGTGAACCTTCTAAACATGGATAACAAAACACAATGTCTATAAATATAAACGGTTACTTTTTGTGCTTTATCTAAGGTGTCTTTGAATGTTTTTCCACCTCCTATGTCTTGCAAGATCAAGTCAATCAAATGGGCGGAACACGGTGACCAATATAAACGAGGTCTCTCTTGCTCCAACTTTGAACCGACTAACACATAAGCCGAAGCACTATCGGTGACGACTTGGACCACATTCTCCTCCCCAATTTCTTCAACAATTGAATTAAGCATTTCAAATAACTTATTTGCATCTTTAGCAAACGAAGATGTGTCAATTGATTTCACAAATACCGTGCCACTTGGACTATTCACAAAGAAAATTTGTGATAGACCTTTATTTTCCATCTGTCCAACCGTCGGACATAAGAGTGCACTCCATTTTCTTCAACTCTTCCTTATACTTATTCAACCCTTATTCAACACATTCTACCTCTTTCTTTAGGTATGTTACTCTCGCCTCATGATATGAAGGAAGTTTCAATCCTTTCCCATACTCCCCTACGAGTCTCAAAGCTTCTTTCCACAATGGAGACTTCACCAAGTTAAATGGCAACGCTTCACCGTATATAACTCGACATAAAGCTCGAGTTACGGGCTCTCTATCCTTCAATGCTTGATTCAGTGTTTTTTGTTTTCCTTTATTGAAAACCGATTTCACAGTCCCGTTCCCGTTCCCGTCACTCTCAACTTCAAAACATTCATCATCCATTGCCTTAGACTTGTTTTCCTCAAAATCCCTCAATAATTTTTTAAAAAGTTCTTTTGTAGCTTCATCAACCATAGTGCAAACAAAAGCATCTATTTTTGTTCCAGCAAGATGATTCTTCATTCTAAATACTCCTCCAGAAAAATTTTTATTGCAATAATTGCATTGCAATCTAACTCTATTTTTTTGGATCTACTTTAGTACAATGTCCCCAAGTGATATTTGGTTTTGCCTTTCCTTTTGGCATAATTAAACTCTACAAACCAAAGAACATGATCAAAGATAATCACATTACTAAACAGAACCTGATCAAAAATAAAAATTGCACACAGGTAATATTTAAATAGAGAAAGAACAGAGATAACAGGGAAGAAAGAAAACGAGAACACATATAATATTTGAACAGATAAAGAACATAGACAAGAACAGGGAAGACAGAAAACGAGAACAGGTTAAGAAAAAGTTTATGGGAAAGAGTTAGCTTCCTGAACTAACTCACATATGTTTAAAAAACAATATATTCCGAAAATACCCTTGGGGACTCTTTTTGTCCGAGAAAATTCAAATATTAGAGATAAAAAAATTGATTCAACAAATTTATTCACATTCAATATCATAATCTTATACAAAAAAGTGAAAAAGAGGAAAAAATCTTACCTGTTAAGTGATGAAGGAGTGAAGGAGAATTGCAGGAAAAGTTAAGAAGAAGAATCGCAGGTAAAGAAGAAGAACTAACGAAGTCTTAGGAAATGAAGAAGTCTAGGAAAAAAAAGGAAGAGTCAAGAAGTTCAGTTTAAGAAAAGATGGAGCAGACATGAAGTTCAGTTTAAGAAAAAAAGGACAATACCTTTTTACACTTTGACTTTTATCTCTGTAAAACCCATCATACAGCTGGATAATAGTTTTAACCACCGGATAATAACTTTAACCATTGGATAAACGAAAGTAAGCCACATGTTTCATGACTCGTCCGATTTACGAGCCAACTCGACTCGGTCTGAGTCGGTACTTGAACCGGAATTTTTTTACCATTCAGACAAAAAACGAGTCACCTTACGAGTTGAACCGTTTTGGGTATCAAATGGCTCGACTCGTACGAGTCAACTCGTGACTCGTACGATTTTAACAACTATGAAAGTGATTAATACTCTATAGCAAGAAATGGTCAATTTTAGGCATATTTTCATCACCCTACAAATACAAAATAAACTGAAAGATGAAAATACATAGACTTTTTAATACAAAATAAACTGTAAGATGAAAATACATAGACTTTGTGTTCTTTGGAATAACTATGTTTTCAAAAATAATCCTACATAGATTCGTCCATTCTAATCCTGATACGTTCTTTGGAATATATGTTTCCAAAATGATAATAATTATCGAAAGAAAACTTATAGCCGAGCTGAAACTAATCTTAAAAAAAATTCACAACCTACTGCATTGCGAGGGTTACAACTATTTGTTTCCGCAAAAGACAGATTGAGTTTACATTTTTTAGTTATTATAATCTAGGGTTACAACTATTTGTTGCCGCAAAAAGACAGATTGAGTTTACATTTTTTTGTTATTATAATCTGATGATTAAAGTTTCACAAAATTGTTATTAAAAATCTTAATATATTTTAGATAAAGTTACATAAATGGTCACTAGGGTTTCACAAATTCTGGGTTTTCGTCCCAAACATTTTTTCGTTACAGATATGGTCCAAATGGATGCCCAATCATATTGTTACGACATATTGACCCATCAAATGGATTGTGTAATGACACCCGATTGATATGCAAAAGTTTTCAGCAAAATGTCATTGATGCAGAAATAACTGTTGGTCAACATGCTGACAAGATGATATTTTTGCCAAAGCTTCTTCTATCTGCGTCTGATGAAGACATGTTCCCATTCAAGCTAAAGAGGAAACAATTTCTTATTCGATTATGCTTTGCAATGACAATCAATAAATTTCGGGGACAAACAATTTTGAATGTAGGTATTTATCTTCGAGACCCAGTATTCACGCAGGACCAACTTTATGTTGCATTATCCAGAGGAGTCTCATGTGGCAATACAAAAGTGTTAGTGAAGCCTAACGAAAATTTAAACGTGATGAAGTTTATACAACAAACGTGGTATATAAAGAAGTGTTGCGAGATTAATAATGTATTAGCAGTTATGTGTTTTTACACGTTTCCATATTTTATGTATTCGTATATAATTATATTATTTTTGTTTGAACGATTTAAACGATTTATATTTTGTGTCGGCTTGAACCGTTTATTTTTACCAGTTATTTGATGTATCATGTCAAAAATAACGCAAAAGTTGGATTCTATTGTCTTAAACATGTACTTTCTTTTGGAACATAACATTTTTGTAAAAGAAACATATCGTTGAAAAAACTATTCGTCGCCGTTGCTTTGCGCGAGTAACGGCTAGTGTGTGTGTGTGTGTATATATATATATATATATATATATATATATATATATATATATATATGCGCTGCGTTCAATTGTTTAAACTAAGTATTGTGTTATTGTATGCATAAATGTGGACCAATTAAAATTAAGTAAAAAATTAAATAATTAAATAAATAAACAAGGGTATTTTAGTAATTTGATAATTAGCTTCCACAAATAATCCCTATAATCTTGCTAGCATTCAATTTTAACCTAAATTCTTTTCTTATATACAGCCGATGTCTTCCATTAAAAAAGAATGAACTGAAATAAAAAGAAGGGCTTTATTTCCCCGTGTTCATCACCTGACTAACAGATCGGGAAAAGATCGGGGAGAAGCATCGGGCAAAGATGGGCAATCGGTCTCCAGAGGACTCCTCCTTGTTCCACCAGTGATCACGAATCAAGGGGGAGAAGAATCGATCGACAGAAGACAGAGAACCGGAAAACTCACCGACTTTGGAGAATCCGACCTTTCTGCGCTTTATGGGATCGGATACGGGATCGGAGAAGTGGTGCTTCGACCCTATTTTTTGCAAATTACGGTCTCCCTTTATGTTCTCATCCTTCTCAGGGCCTGATCCAGCCAACAAAGCACTTCAAAAAAACCTCACCACCTCCGACGTTGCCCTTATCTAAGCAAAAACCGACATTTCAATTGAAGAACCACCATGCAATTTCAATCTAAAAATTAGGGCTTTTTGTTTTCCATTCCTCTATATATCGTTGTTTCCTTCTTTGTACAATAGTGGTGAAGTGATTGATCCAGATGAATTTACTAATCTTGTTGGTGGTTTCGTTGATGGGTTTTGCTCCTGGAGCTCCGGTGAAGATTTCCCTTTTCTTTTGGTTCTGGAACTGAAAATACTGAAATGGAGCCAGGTGGGGAAGATGATAGAATGGTGAAGTGAGAAAACTCGAATGAAATTAGGGGAAGGCTTTGGGTATTTGCATCCTCTTGTGTCTCTTGTCTGCTAGATTTGTTGTAAGTATTTTCTTTCTCATTTAAATTTCGTTGATTTATATATATACACAGACCACACGAATTAAAAGATAGATATATAGGGATTACTGATTTGAAAAGTGATCTAAACAGAGCACAAAACGACCAAAGCTATTTTGGATATCGACAATGGTTCCTTTGATTGATATATAACGAAATTAAAAGTACACTAATCAGTTTTTACTTATTTATTTATTTGTGTGTGTGTGTGTAAATATATACAGATTGGGGAATTAAAGAAAGGACTGAACCCCATTACAATCAAGCATTTCTGTAACTAGGGGTAATAATGTAATTTCTGGTAACAACGTAACATGTTTTGCTTTCAAATGTTTCTCTCTTGATTACTGGGAATTTACCATCTCTAGTGGGAATTTACCATCTCTAATGTAATTTACCATCTCTAGTGGTGTTCTTTGGCAGGAAAACAATGGTGATGATATCTTCTTTGATTGGGTATGTTTCTTTTGATTGAGTTTTACTAGTTAAATAGATAAAAAAAATCAATTCTCTTGATGATCTTATTGTATAGTTGTGAATTTTGATAGATATGGAGCACATTGTGATCTAAGGGAAAGAAAACATAAACGTGTGGTACAATTCTTGAGATTGACATGAAGAAGATAAAAGGAATCGTGAATTCCAATTCTGTTGGAATGGAATCATAAATTCCAATTCTGTTGGAATGAAATCATGAATTACAATTCTGTTGGAATCTAAACTACAATTTGGTTTTGTTTTCACAGAAATGCTTGAAGAACGGACCGCAAAATTGAAAGTGATTCTAAGCAACATTATTCTTTTATAATGTATTAGTGTCGTTGTTAGATTTTGATATTTTCTTTCCCGTTTTGACAGTTTTTTTAGTTTTATTCTTTAACAATAAATGTAATTATTAACAATTATTACCCGTATTCTATAAGAAATAATGTATCTTTTGTTTTTATTCTTCAATTAATTGTTCAAGAATTTGTTATTCTACAAGAAATTTTTAAAGTCATGATCAAGAAATAGGTTCGAGAATATTTTTATTATTTATGGTTCAAGAATATTTTTATTTTTGAATATACTCAAAAACACATTCTGTCAGAATGTCCGAATTAAAAGAATTATAATTCGTAAAATCGGATTTTAAAATTAATAGAATCTATGATCCCTTAAAATATGCAATTTTCCTTTATTAAATCTATATTAATTGACTAAAATACCCTTGTAATTAAATTAGATGATATTTTTCAATTATATTTAATTCAATAATATATATTAATCACTTTCTTAAAATAAGTAAAATTGATTGGCCCACATTTATGCATACAATAACACAATAATTACTTTGAATAGAATAACCTAAGCCATATATATATATATATATATATATATATATATATATATATATATATATATATATATATATATATATATATATATATATATATATATAGAGAGAGAGAGAGAGAGAGAGAGAGAGAGATGAATCAGGTTCAACAACGAACTCTATTTTAGGGAACGAACCAACAAACCAATTTGAAAAAAAAAATTTATGCATTTGATGTATGCATTTCTTTTTTTTCCTATTTGTTTCACAGAGAGACCGAGAACACAAGCTTGCATCCTCTATCATTCCCATCCAATCATCATAACCATCACCATATCCGTGACATCCCC